ATTTTTATTGCAAAACTATTCTTTAAATACAGGATTTTTAGTTATCCATTGACTGAATACTTTAACAGAATCAAAACTTCTCACCCTCAAAAAGGCTACATAAAGCTGTTCTGTATGAACTACCCCAAATTCTCTTAATTAGAGAATTAACTTTAATTCACTAAATTAAAGTTAACTTTGTTCTAATTCTGCTGTTGTAGGTAGTACAGTTCATTTAAGTGTATCAATGGCCAAATCCTGCTTGTATCTTTGTATGACACCTCTACTCACTGAAAGAAGCATGGAGTAGACAAAATCCAAACAGAACAAATAAAAGGGAGAAAGTAGTCGAGAGGCAGGTGGGCATGTATAATAAATTAGTTGTAATGCCAATCTGTTGCAACACCCTAGATCAGAGTTGCAGGCCAGATGTGGCCTCTGAAGCTGGTATTAATGGTCTGTCATTGGCATGTGAACACTCCTGTCAATGAATTCAGTGACAAAGGAAAAGAAGGTATGAGCAAGGCTTATCTGTGCTGACTTGCTAGAGATGTTAGCTTTCAGGCAGCTCTGGAGCCCAGGGACTGAACACAGCTGCCATTTGTCTCCTGCTCCCCCTTGCTCAGCTGAATTCAGCAGCATGGAAAAACGAGGACGAGTGGCAGTGACAGCAGCACTCAGCTCCTGGTCTTCAGAGCTGCATAGTCTTTTGGCTCTGTGACACATCAATAAGGACACTGGCTGGAGCCACAGCTTTTGTGTAGCTTTGGAGCCAGGAAGCTAAATGTCATTGCCATTTGCTTTGCTTCCTCTCCTCCTCATTGAATTCAGGACCAGGGAAAAGATAGCAGCAGTGATGGTGGCTCAGCTCCTGGGCTCTTGAGCTGCACAAAAGCTGTGGCTACAACCATGACATGCTGGCAACTTTTCAAGCAACCCCAGAGTCTAGGAGCTGAATGTTGCAGCTGCTCTTGAGACCTTGAATAGTCTATGCCTCCCTTGGCCTATTTCTGATTTTAAAGTTTGTTTGTTTTTTGTTTTTTTTACAAGTGAGCCAAAAAGTTGAGCACCACTGCCCTAGATAGTAACTACTGAGAGATTTGTAAGCACCCCTAGGAGTAGATTGGGAGGAGAGGATGGGGTGTTGTGTGAATTCTGAGAAGTCTCCCAGAGCATTAGGGCCAGTGTGGAATGAGTCTGAAGGTGCTTCTGGGAAAAATGGATAATCAAATCCAATATCTTAAGTGCTGCAATCAAAAATTTTAGCCAGGGCTATGTGGTAGAGCATCTTAAAGGTGGAACAAGGAGATTGTGCCAGATGTGATGAAAGAGAAGGCTGCTGGAAGAGGAAGGCCACAGAGGGCCTTTTTTACTTACACAAAGTCTGTTTCACCCTTAAGCTCAGCCACAGGTTGGAAAACAAGATTGCGCCGGCGCATTCCCAGCAGACAAACAGTGTCATCGGTGTTGGCAAATACTTTTCCTAAAAGGGAGAAAAAAATTGTTTTAGTTTCCTACTCTATTACATCCACAGGGGCAAATTACCTATTTTCTCTTTAAAAAAACAAATGGAGGAGCAAATTCCTGGGAGGATTCTTAATTCTGTTCAGTTTAAAATGGACAGTAACGATTGAATTAGTGCTTTAATGATGTTAGGAAGATGTTCATTTCAATGAATTAGTTTGATGATTGAGCAATAAAACGTAATGAACTTAACTGATCATACTTCCTAAAATGATGCCACATGAATTCAAATTTAGATTAGCTTTCCCTTGGTAAATATAGTGCCTTATGAAACAATTCCTAAAGAAGACATATTACCTTCTTCTGTGTTCCATGCAGCCACCAAAAAGCAAAACAAAAAAGAACACATGTAACTATGACATCATCAGTTCCTATAAATATGAAAAACTGACTGAACTAACAAAATCGCGCACAAACCATGGTCAGCAGTATTCGAGTCCCTTTAGTATATTTTTTTTTTGGTCCCATCTAACTAGAAACACATTAAGACAGCAGTCAGCAACCTTTTTAGGTCCTGGAGTGACCTGCTTCGGGTCAGAGGCAGGAAGGCAGTACGACTCGGCTGCCTCTGCGGCTCTTCCCAACAACAGTGGCTCCCCACAGGAATGTGACTGCTGCTGAAGTCCCCTGCCACTGAATACCACCAAAGCCCCATGTCTGCAGGCCAGATCCTATGGCTCTGTGGGCCGGATCTGGTCTGTGGGCCATAGGTTGCCGAGCCCTGCATTAAGAAAATATTGCAGAAAGCTCAGCTAAGCTAACGAGAACAGAAGAACTATACTGTACAACCATAACTGACGATTACTTAACTGGTTGCCATAGTTAGACTGTGCAAAAGTAATACAAACAAGTTAAGCAGACTGAGATGCTGACTAGTTCCAAGTTAACTAGAAGAAAAGAGCAAGATGGTAAAATAGCCGTAAGTATTGTGCACCTTTCCGGTATGTTTCCACAAGTTTCTTAGAGATCCACTGGATGGCTTTTGCAGAAATTTTCGTCCCAAAGTTTCTGTCAAATGGAGAAGGGGCACCACCCTGCCAAAGTTCAAAACGCAATTGCAGATCAGTTGGAGGTTAACTTTGAATCATGCATGCATGCCTTTCAGTTCCACCCGCTGTGTTTGGTCTTAAGGCTGGCTCTGCGCAGCAGTTAAGGAAAATGATACCTTGGGCAAACTTGTTTTTTGGTGCTCCCCACCATATTTTGGTGCCCCCTTCTCTTCCCAACTCAGCACTGCTGCTGCAGGCAGAGGCTGGTGGGCAGGGTCACAGGGTGCAGTCCTGTGGGGAGGCAGAGCAGCATGGTGCACCAGGCAGGTAGGTGGGCAGGCACCACGGCTGCTGTGCAGGAGCAAGGCAGGTAAACTGGAGCAGGCACCACCCCCTCCACATGTGCCCATTTCAGCTTCTCCTGAGCAGTGGCTGGAGGCAGGGAGTGGGCTGGGCACTGCTCCTCTTGCCTGGAGTGGGGCAGGGGGATAGAGAGCACTGTTGTGACTGCTGGCTGCTCAGGTGGTCCCCACTGACCATGGTGCTTTGGGTGGTCACCCACCCCACAGGCCACGTCTGTTGCTATGCCTGTCACCCTTTTGTCTGCCCTCTCCCCTGCCTTTTAAAAAACACACCACACACAGTCAGACACACATCTGCATTAACTTCATGCCACGACTCTCAATGTGGTGGTCTCTAAAGAAACCTTGATTTTTCACATGGACTTTTGGACCTATTGGTCCTAATTCTGCAAAGTGCTTAGAACTAGATCTAGATGCCTGGAGGAACTTAGGTGAATCTAGTTTCTTAAGTTCATACAGTGATCCAGAATAACTCCACTAAAGCAGCCACAAAAGAAGCAACTAACTTCATTTTGGACTGCCAATATTCCTGGGTGCCTACACAAAGACTTCTGGGCATCAGAGGCTGGCTCCCTAGTTCCTGCCTAAGCTGTGCTGTGATCCAGATACAAGGCACAGCAGCACCTAAACTCCACTGATCTGGTCCGTGTGCTCAGTGATCATGGCTGCAACCTCTGAACTGAATGCAATGCTCTTGGCAGGCATTAACCAGTCAGCTGGAGGCATTGCTCCTGCTCCCAGGATTATGTCTGCTTTTTCACCAATGTAAGGTTTCCATCAGTTTAATATAAAATGCACAAGTGGCCCAGGGAGCAGAACTAGCACTCCTCCCTACCAGCTAAGCTACAGCCCATGCTCCCTCCTGTTTGCTCTCTTCCTGGCTGCAAAGTATTCCAGCTGCAGTAGGAGGGGTTGGAGACTGCCATTGCCCAGACTGACATTCCTGGCAACTGGGGGATGTGAACTTCAATCCCATCAGCCCTAGAATTCAAGTCTCCCACTTTCTGGACTCAATCTACTAGGTACCATGTAACAGGTGAGCAGAATCACCAGTCCGCCTCTACTCAGGTGCCTCAAAGAGAACTGGACTGTAGTGCTGACCAAGGCACTGGCATTTCAAGAGGTTGAGGCAGGAGTTCAAACATAACCCTGTGCTTAGTGTTTCCTGTTGGCTAGCCCTATGCAGTCAGCTGTTCTCCAAAACACCTTTCAGAAGCACCACTGACATATTGGCAGTCTAAGCACCTACCCCTGTTTTATTATTTATCAGGGTACAAGTGTACTAAAGGTTGAAGGGGCCTATGAGGCCAAGCTGGATTTTACCTCTAATCACATGTTGAATTGTCAGGCTAAAAATAGATGCTGGATTTCGTTAGGGGCAAAGCCTTTTATCCTGGGATTCTACAGACTGAAATATTCAGTGCTCCACTTTAGGTACCTGTGAAGTATCTGAGGTATTACTTTTTCCCCTGGACAACTGGAGCTAATTCCAGGTAATTGCTATTTCAGCTCTGTGTGTAAACACCTGTGTCCATCCTCCCTACCCTCCCTGTTTTGATGGAGTCAGAGCCCAACACAATCTGTTTTTACCCACACTGAGACTTAACCATTTTGTGTGTGTGTGCGCATGTGGTGAGGGGTGGAGAAAATCAGCCCAAATCCCACCTCTCCTAGTGTTCAAGTGGTGCTGAGGTGCTGCGGGAGCCGATGAGCAAGGTATTAAAATAAGTCATTTTGGGGTATTAAAAGAAATTGTCACTTTTTATATACAAATGTGGGAAAACAGAAGAGCAAAGCAGTTTTGGGGAGAAAGACCACATAGATTCAGAAAGAATCTGCTGTGATTGCCTCCTAAAGGAAAATGAAGTGAAGCTAACAACACTAGGAGGAAAACTCCCTTTGTTACATTCATTTTATCTCAGGAGTAAAAACACATGTAGGTAAAGTTGTTGGGAGTCCTAGAATCGGGCAGGCCCTTTACACATACTCAATGAATAGTGTCAATAGTATAATCTCACTTACTTGCTGCATGTGACCCAATACATTCTTTCTGCAGTCAAACACACCTTTTCCTTCCTCAGAATACAGCTGATAGATGAAGTCAGTTGTGTAATTCTCATTGCAGTTCTCATTCCTGTAACACCAAACACAGTCAGGCCAATTACAGTCAACAGATTAGTAAATAATGGCCTCCTTTACAAAACCAATGACACTAAGTGAGGGGCAGGTCCCACTCTGACAACTGTTATGCCAGCTCCCTGGGATCTGTCGGAAGGGCTCAGTTATTTCCATCTCCACCATGCCTATGTTTGGTCTTTCACAGTATGTGCAAATAATCAAGCAATTTTATTACAAAGACCTAGATCCATGTTCTAATATAGTGGGAGCCAATCTTTTGGCAGACACATCGCAAATTAGCCTCTCATCATCCCCAAGTGCCAATTTAATCCCTTTCCCCTCTGTTTTCTGCCCCCAGCCCGACACACCTTGCCTGATCGGCAGGCCTGCTTTCTGCTTCTTTCTCTGCTCCCTGCCCAATTATCTGCTCTGCTTTCTGTTCCCTGCCCTATCTGCCAGTATGCTGCCTGTCCTTTCCCCAGTCTGCCACGTGTCACACACAGAGGCTGCCTGTGCACTTGTGGCACCCACGCTGCAGGTTGGACACCCCTTTTCTAATACATAAGAAGTCTATATCCACAGCTACAAAACTCAAGTTTATCTCCCTTCATGTGTACTTTTGAAGATAAAATTAGCATGCTGGATGAATAGGTCTGGTGATTTCCTACTACAACTCATTTCCCAGACTCTGGAGCTTGCTTCCTCATTGTTTTAAGAGTAAGAAGTAAAGTCTGTGAAGAAACATAACAAGGGCCAGACTGGGTCCGATCAATGGTCCATCTAGTCCAATAGGTGATGGTAAGGTTGAAATTGATGAGAGCCGACTAGAGAAAAAAGGTAAGATTCAAAACCATGCTAGTTAACATGTCTTAAGATCATTGTGTAGAGATGCAAAAATATTGTATTTAACTAGTGTTAGCTGTTATAGTGCAAGCTGCCCTGCCTACACCAGGTTTTAGCATAGTGGTTACCAGGTTTTCATAGTTTCATAGTTTCTAGGGTCGGAAGGGACCTGAGTAGATCATCTAGTCCGACCCCCTGCCATGGCAGGAAAGAGCACTGGGCTCAAACGACCCCAGCAAGGTGTTCATCTAACCTCCTCTTAATGACCCCCAGGGTAGGAGCCTGCACCACCTCTCTTGGAAGTTGGTTCCAGACCCTAGCCACCCTGACCGTGAAGTAGCGCCTCCTGATATCTAGCCTAAACCTACCCTCTGCCAGCTTGTGACCGTTATTCCTGGTCACTCCTGGCAGTGCTCAGGGGAACAGTGACTCCCCCAATGCCTGCTGATCCCCCCTGACTAGTTTATAACAGGCCACAAGATCCCCCCTCAGCCTTCTCTTTTGGAGGCTGAACAGGTTCAGGTCCCGTAGCCTCTCCTCATAGGGCCTGCCCTGCTGTCCCCTGATCATGCGAGACTGTGTCTTCATTCTTGTGTCTTTAACTGTGTCTTCATTCCTAGCGAAGGCAAGGGCAAAAAGAAAGCGAGGCATGTGGCCTCTTTCGGATCCTAACATCATTTACAGAAGAAATGATGGAAAGTCTAAATTGCAGATTAGTAGATTTTAAATATCCTTATTTTTCCCAGTTGTATGGACCACATGTCACTGTGATCAATTATTGCCCCAGATGTTTTAATACCAACCTATTACAAGTACTTGATAGTTACATTTATCATAAGATTTTTCTAGGCCTTCCTTACAACATCAGAACATAACTGACAACAGACTCATTTATGAGAGAGTTCTTAAGAGGTACGTTTGAGGGTAGTAGTGGCATCTTCCTGAAATTCTGCTTCTTGTTCATAGTCTCTATACAAGATTGAAGAGATCCAGAGCTCTGAAAGTTGACCTGATACAATGTGTGGAAACTAAGTTTAGGTGTCATGTGGGAAGGAAAAAGAGAAAATTAAGGTTTGATACAGATGCATCCAGCTTGTCTAGAACATAAGGCAGATGGAAATGCTGACAACATGGCTTTAGGCTGCCTTCATATAGGACAGACCAGAAGTATTCTTAAGAGTAAATAGTTCAAAGCCACTATGACTAGATTAGGAGCAAAGTTAGACAATATGAAGTTGACATGTAGGACACTTCTTCACCTGTCAGGGTAAACCTGACATGGCAATTTTTTAGTTCTCTGACACCAGGTGAAGTCTAAAGTATGCCACTGTATGCAGATGATCAGAGCAATGTGTGTGTGCCTCAAGACATTCCAAGTGCTAATTCAGATTTAAGAACTGCACTGATCCTCTGCTGGCTCCTCAACACAGTAGTAAATTTCATCCTTAAAACAATAAAAAACAAACGAGAGCTTTGTGTAATCTCCTTTTTGCATTTTCTTCACTCTTAAGTTAAACTGCAACACTTGAAGGTATAATTTAAAACCCCAGATCATTAGCAGAAGATAGCTAAAATGAGAATTAAGCTTCAATTTTTTATTTTGAGGGCTTAGACCAGATCCTCAGTTTCACTTTTTCTTCCACTATAAATTCCTGCTAAGAAAGTATTGAGCCTGCTCATTGATTCTATACGGCAACAAGGTTTGCAAAACACTATTCATTTTCATGGAATAGTCTAAAGAAATGACCTTACCTCAGCACTAGACCACGCTGGATGCTGGTTTTCATCTTTTCCGTCAAATGTTCCACATTAGCCTAGAAAAAATAAATGTGTTTTTAACAAGTCATGCAAACCATGCTGAAACAAACATGATAAATCTGCCATTCAAATGATCAACAATTTTTTGCATGTCCATTTGCACCCGATAAGAGTAAAAGTCACCAGTTTGAGGTTAATACTAACTCCTTCCACCAACCTCTACCAACAACTATTATTTCAATAGCATGCATTGCATTTTGGGCACACACAATCCAGTGAGATAGCAGTGAGCTCGGTATCTTTGATGCATGTATTTACATGGGAACACAGGAATTTTGACGGTGAATCAAACCCTAAAATTGTCTAAATCCATATGCCCGACTCCAGTGGTTAGTACAAGACCAGATACTTCTGAAGATACATAAATCCTGCAGTAGATACATATAGTATAGGTTGGACAGCCATTACTCAGAGATGATCTAGGTGTAGCTATATTTATACTATACTATGGGCATTTCCTAGGCTTCTGGGCTTTGCTGATAGCTGCATGGAGCCGGGAAGGATTTCCCCACCTTTTTCTATTACAAATGTCAAGGTTGGTTTTCTTTTCCATTTTTCCTCAGAGGCACTGGGTGTTGGCTGCAGCCAGGACTGGGGATTTTGACTGGAGGGTGCCAATGCTCCTGGCAGGACTAAAACCCAGAGGTTTCTGACTAGAGAATCTTACCCCTCTGACCAGGGTTGGACCAATTGCCACATCAGGAGCCAGGAAGGAATGTTAACCCATGGTCAGACTGGTATGAACCGTGGGGGTTTGCCTTCCCCTGTAGCAGGGGGAATGACCTTCCTCCTTGGTCTCTGAAACGTATTTTAAGAAACCCTGCAGCAGCAAAACACTGCCATCGTCCCCCCTGCTTTACCTGCGACAAGTTACAGTGCTATCTATGCCTTGTGGTTCTGCGACAGGTTGCCTATATAGTTTTAGTGATAGCTTAGACAAGGATGGTTTGGAGAGGAATGAACCTGCCTCAGGCAGGGAGTTGGACTAGATGATCTCCAGAGGTCCCTTCCAGACCTACTTCTCTATGATTTCATGAAACAAAATTTTCCTTTTTATTTTGCTCAGTTATGCCTATTTAATATGTATTAATAAGCAGAAACTTAAAGTATTATTCATCCATGTAATGAAGCCAGTGTGACTAGGTGTTGCATTTTTGGCCCCCTGTCTGTGCTTAATACCATAAATGAGGATTGACTGCCTGCATGGTCTACTATAAAGTGCATTCACACTGACAGAATATTTTGAAATGGGTATGAATGTGTTTGGAATGAATTTAAAAGTGGCAAAACCTACTAATACAAAGTATAATATGCTTTTATGACATTATCATCATAATCATCTCTATAGTATTACTTTTGTTATTATTACAAATAATGCACAAATATTAAGATTTACTTAAGTATGCTTTTAGACCCCTTTTAAAATTGACCAAAACATTTAAAATACAAACATACTGCATACCTGGAGCTCTCGAATATCAAACTTCTCTTCAAAGATATACGCAGCATCGGCACCTGCAGCAAGGCCCCCCATATTGGCCAGGTAACCGCAGTATCCACCCATGGTCTCAATGATGAACACACGACGTTTGGTTCCACTGGCTGACTGTTTGATGCGATCACATGTCTAACCAAAGCACAGAACATTAGCAACTCGAACATGAAATTCATTACCATATACTGAATAATTCTTTATCACCCTAATAAGATTACTAAACTTTGCATTCGAATGGAAATGCTGTCATGTCAATGATGATTTTATTTTGTAGGACTACATTTCTTCAAAGTCACATCTTCTATATTAAAAATAGAGTCACTTGACAAATATATTTTGCTTATTTTATCCTTCTGGCTGGCTGGCTGCTTCCTGAAACTGCTATAATAGTAATGAAGTTTGGGGGACATACGCACTTCTGATGGCATTCTTAAAACTGTGGGGTGACCTTCTAAACAAAGTTATAAAAAAAAGAAGCATGCTCTGTGATCTAGAATAAAACAGTCTGGCTGGGCTCCAATTTAACTCTGATTACAATTAAACAATTTGCAGCCCAGTGTTTCTCAAATCTTTTTAGGCTTAAGGCACCCCTCATTAGACCTAAAGCACCCTATATAAACTTTTGTGAATTGAACAGCGCCGCATTTACAAAATTACGGTATTTACTTCCTCGCAGAGGGACCAGGCAGCTGGAGCAAGGGAGTGGCCAGGCATGAGCCTGCCCTTATCTGCTTATCTCATCACACCTCAACATCTTTCAAAAGATCTTGAGGCATCCCTGGGTTGACCAACACCCTGCTTGCATATCACTGCCCTAACCAGTTGTCTTTATAACTGGAATTTAATAGGCAACAGTCTTTGGTTTCTACCGATTCTTTCCTTAAATGTAATATCCATACACAGATTCTCCTCAAATTTCTACTAGAGGCAGTTTCTACCCCAGTTTCATGCCCAGGAACACACACAGATTATGGGAACCCAACACCTTAACCACATCTTACCTACACTGTATAAGATGGTATCTGTAGGCTTATACAGGTGACAGCAAGTTTTATTTAAGCTGAGACACACAATAATCTACAAACATTAGTTCATGAAAAGATAAAAGCAATAAATACTGTGCTAAGAACTGCAGAAGCTACAGGACACAGATTTAACGTGAACTACCAAGCATCTCTCAATTCAAATAACATTCAAGAAGCTTCTTGGTATTTTCACGTCTTGTTGAAATGAAAGTATTCACAGGGAAACGTTCTAAAAATGACCAAAAAGGACACAACTGTTCAAAAACTTCCCCCTTTACCACATCCTGAACTGAGTGTTAAAATCAAGGGATCTCGTATCTCTAATTGTTTGTGAGAACACTGGCCTTTCCTTGAACCATGTAAAATAATTCATAATATATATTATTTTGTAATCTATTTTATATTACCAATGGTTAGGATGACTGAAGAAAAAAAACCCCGCTACTAATGTTTTCACTGTTCTTTCAATCTCAGAATAACTGGATGGAGAAGCCCGGATTTACCACCTGGATCTGCCACTAACTTGAAAGATTCTATCCAGCTCAAGGGTGGTTGTAATACAGGGATACTTTATTATCAGATCAGCTGCTCTAAACTAGACGCAGAAATTATGGGAAAGGCGTAGTTGACTGTTATACAGGAGATAAGGCTAAACGATGAGAACAGTCCTTTCTAGCTTTAAAATCTGAGTATGAATCTATTAATCAAAAGTTTTTCATCTCAATAACTAGTTTTTCCCAGGTTCCACCAGGGGTACACTATGGTTCCATCTCAGCGTCTATAGTATGCCATTCCAAGAAGTATCTAAGTACTGTGTTATGTAGTATCTAGCTATCTAAATATTAAAACCAGTAATTATTCTTTAACATTACAGCAATCTGTAGTATCAGGTACTAACAATGGAAATGTGGCCAGTTTTTGTAGCAACACATTTTGAAACTAAAGGATTGTGGAAAGATGTGCTACTTACAGTAAAATGGCATTATATAGAAGCAATAGCTAAGGGATATAATAGCAACAGTCAACTCTATGAAACTTAGAGCTCTTTATGCTTTGGGGATTTCTCCCATATTTTCATTCTTTGGTGAGGGCTTTTGCCTCATTGATATAAGCCATGCTACTCTGATCTGCTGTTTTCAGATTTAGAAATCAAGATGGTAAAAACACCTCTGCCCTGCCTCTGTTTCACAGTGTCATACTCTTGCCACCATTTTCTCATTCTGTGCCAGAATGAAACCAAGGCATTTTGAATTTTTCTCACCCCACAAAAAAGGAGGTGAGGAGACAGACAGGCTCACATCTCTGCTCTGCTTGACTTACAGCAGGGAAACAAACCTCACCTAGGTGAGGACCCTGGCTATCATATAATTAGGTTTCATGGCATGGCATGGGTCTCTTTCAATCTCCTTCATTGGAGCTGCTCCACTTTGAGTATATATTAACGTATCGAACCTGTCCTACCCAAATGCCCTACTTATTCATTTTTCACTTTCATTCTTGCTCTGGCCTAATAAACTGGTAATTATTTTTATGAAGTGGAACAGCTTAAATAGGAGAGAGTGAAGGAGCCTGAGCTGACTCTATAGCCCAGTGATTAGATGATTCATCTGGTTGTGAGAGACAGGCTCAAGTCCCTGGCTCTGCAATTCTCCCCCCCAGGGGAATGGCCCTATTCACCAAGGCTATTGTGTAAAGTAAAGGAGATTCTGTGCTGATACTAGAATAGTTGGACATTAAGGAAAATGTCCCAGTAGCAAGGGACACATCTTTCTGACTAAGGTTAATGACAAAAATCAATATGATTTGTAAGCTTCAGTGACAAAAACTGGAAGAGAATAAAGAAAATATATTAAATAAATAAAGAGACACTAAAAAACGCCTTTTGATTGAGTTGACATTTCTGCTTTTCAAGTAATACTAAGGAACAAGTATTAGAAAAATATAAAATCCTGTATTTTGAATATCAGAACATGTTTGTATTATAACATGGAGAGAAAATTACATCTTTGGTGGCAATAAGCAGGGTGGGCCCTTCAACAAAATTTGAACCTGCCCATTCTGATCAACTGGCCCATTTCAAATGAAAAGCTTGAAAATCTTAACTGCAACCTGCACAAAATTGATGATATTTCACACGGCAAGAATTTTGGTGACACAAGCATTAACATAACCAATGTATAAAATTCACTTTAAATATTTTAAGTGTGGCAGTCACTAGGCCCATTTCAGCAAGACTTAACAGTTAGCAAATGCCTGATCCCACCAAAGTCAAAGCACTACTCAAGCTTAAAGTTAAGTATGTGCATTCATACCCCCTCAACTGCAGCCTTAGTCACTGCCTTTGTAATCATTGTGTTTACTTTTCAAAGACACGTTTTCTTGCTTCATTTTATATAGTAAGTAGTTTTAAACAAATTAATTCAAACAACAAAAACCTTTATTATTAGTGAAAACAAATGCCCTAATGCATTGAAATAGTAAGTCTATCACATTATCTAAAAGAATCCCTCAAACCATAAGCTAAACAACATCTGGTGTAGTTAATTCAATTTTAATCAATTTAATCTTCAACCAGACATAGAAACATTGACAACTTTCCGGTCAGAGAATCTTAATGATTTAAACTATATTTTTCAGGAAACTAGACATTTTCAGGTCTTTCTGGTATCTTAAAACTATACATTGTATGGTTTTAGTTTTAAAAGGAAATGCAGTCTTACCTCTACAATAGCATTCAAGGCAGTGTCAGCACCAATGCTAAAGTCTGTGCCTGGTACATTGTTGCTAATAGTAGCAGGCAATACACAGATAGGTATGCAAAACTCCTCAAAGCGGGAACGTGCCTCATATAATTGCAGACAACTTTCATAGGCCTGAAGCAGTGGTACAAGCATTATTAGTGATTCACTCCTTGCCAATGGATGATAAGTTATTATGTATTGTGCTAGTGGCTCCTTGCATGTGATGGGAGGTTTGGCTTTCCATTGGCACAAAAAAACCCCACAACCAAAATTGGTGATGTTTAGAAAAAAAAACAACGTCCTGTAAATACCACAACAGTGCACTTGGGTCGCATTGGCACAGTGCTCTTCTGAAGAAAGCCCAGAAGGAGGTTAGTGTGAGTTAGTGAAAGTGAAAATGGTAGTGGATGGTGCAGAGATTTGAAGCAAAGCAGAAATGTAAACAGCATAAAGGTAGTGGAAGTAATGCTTCAGAAAGAAAGTTAAATGAGCAACATGTAGGCTACACCCTGAAGGTGTTTTTTTAAAGTTATCCAGAAGATACCTAAAAATGGAAGAAAATGCTTATGAATGTACTACTACTGTGAAAGCTAATTTTTAAGCTACTCTGTTGTCTTAGAAGGTAAAGACAAGCCTCTGTCAGCCTCAGAGAGACATTATATATATATATATGTATGCGTGCGTGTGAAAATAAGGCCCACGTTTTCAAAGAGTGTTTTTAAAAGCATACACCTGGAAACACCTATTTTGTGCATGCAGTTTGATTACTGTCCATAAAATACAGGAATTTCACATATGCAAATGAATTTGGTCAACAGGTTTGCAGGAACATTTTAAAATCCCTTCAAGAAAAGTGGCATTATGTATCTTTTTGTCATTATGGAGTTCCTAAATGCTGTACAATCAGGGAAAAAAATGTAGTGTGAGGTGTTTGAGTTGTTGCTGACAGCAGTACTATAGCACTCCTAGCACCCTATTCTGGAGATAAAGGCCAACAGAATGTGCATCTGTTCTAATTTAGTAAGTGGATAAGTCCAATTCTTCTTTAATATTCATTAAGCCTGAGCAACCACTAGACAGAGAGAACTGAAAATCCCTATATACATAATGATTCTCAAAATGAAGTTTAAGTCTTACAGTACTTGATCCTGTTCCTCTGCTGAGGTTCATAGTAGTCTGGTCCCTTTTATATTAAAGCAAAAAGAGCTGAAACTAGTCAGCTCTTTTTTGACTGTTAAACCAGTTTGAAGAATAAGTGCAACAGCACCTGAGGGCCTTGTTACACAGTACTCGAGGCAGCTTCTGGAGCTCTCAACCCCTAGAAAAGCTGCACATTAAACACCTTTTATGTGGTTTAAAGTACTCA